GATTCCTTCTCCATCTCCTCCAACATCTATTCCCATTCCATTTTTCCATTTCACCATTTTGAGTGTGCACCAATGTTGGATTTTGAGAAAACCCAGATCTCTCTCGTCTCCTTTCGTCTTCTTTCTCCAGATCTGCGTTTGAGACACAAACCCAGATCTGGGTTTGAGACACAAACCCAGATCTGGGTTTGAGACACAAACCCAGATCTGGGTTTGTTTGAAGCCCACCCTTTAGCCCCCCTCAATCACCTAGCAGAATTTGTAAAAATCACCAAGACAGGAGGGAAGAGGCGACGTACGACGAGGTGTTGCGGATGATGGGGGATACCAAGCGAGGTACCGGCTGCACCAGCGTGTCCTCTGCCTTCGAAGAAGAAGCCGTTTTTGTTCAAGAAGAAGAGGGAGCCACCGAAGGACAGACATTTCCAGCCACCTGATCTGGAGTTGTTCTTCTCGATCAACCAGGTTCCTTGCAACATTTCCAGCAACATCAATACCGAATTTGGTGCCTAGGGACGCCTGGGGAGGCCTGGGGCCGCCTGGGTTCGGCATTGGTGGATGATGGGTATTTTAGAAGGAATTATTCAACCCTTGCTGCAGCTGTAGCAACAGTAGAGAGTGAAGAGGAAGAAGTAGGTGAAAGCGAGGGAGAGGAAAGTGATCAAGGTGAAGGGGAAGAAAAGGAGGGTATAGATCTGGTTTTGTTCTTTTGCTTATTTTGTGTTTTCTATGTGTATTTTTTGAGTTGATTAAGTGGTTTTCGTGTTGATTATTTTCGAGATTAGATCTGCAGTTGGCTTGTATGTGAATGTGATTTGGCTCGAATTGCTTTTTTTCTAGAAATTCTTTACTCTTTTTAATCTATGTTCCTCTCTATTAGTTGGCTTAGGAGATCTCGGCTTTGCTGTTTAGTATATTCGAGATTAGTTTCCATGTTATGTGATGAAACCCAGATTTGGGTTCGAGGAAAACCCAGATTTGGGTTTGAGGAAAACCCAGATTTGGGTTTGAAAGAGGAAGAAGAAAGGAGAAGAGAGAGAGAGAGAGAGAGAGAGAGAGAAAGAATAAGAAGAAAAAGGAAGAAGGATGAGCAAGGAAAGGAAATGAGGAAGAAGATGAAGTTTGCGAGAGAACCCAGATCTGGGTTTGCAGAGGCAAGGGAAAAGGAAAGGTAAAAGAGAGAGAAAGTGAAAGAGGAAGAAGAGATGACGTGGATGGAAAAAAATGATATCAAAATTTTTAAATGAAATAATAATGCCACCTCATAAAAAAAGATGGCCAACTGTGTTTTTTTTTTCCATGTCATTAGTCAAGCAAAAAAAGAATTGATTTTGTGGCATTTTAACGTGACACCTGTCATTTAACTGACGGAAGGACTATTTTGATACTAAAAATGAAAGTTTAAGGATAAATTTGGTACTTTTTAAAGGTGAGGGACAATTTTGGTACCAAAATGAAAAGTTGAGGGACCAAAATGGTACTTAAACCTTTTTTCTATTGTACATGCTCTAGGGCCTCTTTTTTTTTTTTTCAAAATGTTTTGTGCATCTATTAAGGTCGTGAAATTCTTTTTACATAACTCATCTCTCACTTGCGAATATAATTTTTTTTTTTTTAAAAAAAAAAAAGGAAAGGAGGGAAGAAGAAGAGGCAAGAGGCAGATTTTTTTAACCATACAACACTTTTTTATTAATTTAAAGAAAGTATGCTCGGTAAGTTTTTCAAGCCCCAGAAGTCAATCTGAAGTAGAGAAAAATGGTTTCATCAACAATATGACTCTGACATTCTACTTACTAGTCTTTATCATGGTATAGACAAGACGTGTGTGCCAATTGCCAAATGGTAGATGATCAACCAACCACAAAGGAAGAAGAAGAATGGTGGCAGAAATTCGATGTTAAACCATGTTACTGAACCATGTTCCAATGTTTAAAACAAGAAGATACTGCATTGCTGAACTGCAAAAATAAGGTGCCCGAGATGGAACAATGTCAATAGAAGCATGCTCATGCAAATAAAAAAATAACATTGTCACCACCCTCCTGACCTAGCGAACAGACACCTCATAAACACTTCGTGAGTAAAGGATGTCATGAAGCCACACCAACATCAGTGGCAGCATGACCACCTAGGACTCCTGAGCCGTGGTGGTTGTAAGCATGCCCACCACCTCGACCGCCCCTTCCCCTGTTGTTATGATAGTTCCTAGGATAATAGTTTCCAGACTGATCGTAGTATTGGCTACGACCATTCTGGTACGATCCACCACCCCTTCCACCTCGACCTCCACGACCATTGGAGTATGGCCTACGGCCACCTCCACCACCACGACCTCCTCTTTGGTTCTGATAGGGTCTTCGGGGAACATACTGTTGTTCCTTGTACTCTATATCTTTCTGATTCTGCTCCATCTCTGTCAGTGGTTTGTCTTGTTCTTGTTGAGCTGGCACAAAATCTGCATGATTTTCTGTCTCCAGTTCATCCTGCATCACACAAGCCACCTCAGTCCTCACATTCAATCAAATGGAAAAGAAGAGTGACGGAACAAAAACAATAGTATGGTAAACAAAAGCACCTTCTGAAGGTCCTCTGCAGGACCAGATTGATAATCACCAGTCTCAGGTTCATGATAGCTTGTCGTATCTTCATCCTACAATAAATATAATACCTGTTAATTACACTGAGAAACACAAATTTTCTAGATACTAGATATCATCACTCAAAGATGGGGATGAAAAAATAATATGGACGAAATCTTAGCATTGTGAGAGAGGGAAGCAAACATGAATCCTTTTATTGAGTACACCAATGTATTAACAGGCCCCAATGTTGGCAATCTCAAAATTTAACAAACAGTTAACTGGGAACATTATTTGCGTGTAGGGATCTCTCTGTGTCAGTCTATGTGTGAGTAGGCATGAGAGTGACCAACAAGTTGCTTAGCTTCCTCAAAAAACCCTCTTAAACTACCTTTACTTTGCAGATGAATGGTTCACATCAAAGGTGGAAAATATTTTCTAAAATCTTGAAAAGCAAAAGCTCATTCTATCAGCAATCCACTTTAAAATATTTAATGCCTGCTCAGATGTTCTAATTTTATTTTTCTTTCTTATCAATCTATCCTTAGTGAAGGCAGTTAACAATAATTAAGATACAACAATGAAAAATGTTAAATCAACTTCAATCTAAAAATCAATCAGTTATGCGTGGTCCAAGGCTAAGGAAATGAAAAACAAAGGAAGACCAGAGCAACTACACTCCCACAATAAAATGGTTGGACCAGTTTCTCTTACACTACATTACTCTTTTTAATACCTCATAATTTCAAATTTGTAATATGCTTCCAGTAACAATCTAGATAAGATTAACAAGAATTCATATTCCACCAAACAATTAAAGCATCACACATAAGTAGGCCAGATCATAGTTTGAGGAAGACCCAGCATAGTGAACATTAAAAGGGCAAGAAAGGGCAAGAAATCAATACAGAATTGCAGAGAGAACAGAGACAACTACAATATTGAGAGTGGTAGTGTTATCACAGAAAATGTTACAAGAACCTATCTTAGTGTCTTGAGAAAAGAAAGACAAATTTATTTCTATCATATAAAGGGGTCTGACCACCACCACTACTGATATAAACCTTCGATGAAGTATAAATACTTGATAAATGTGAAATTTCAGCAATAGTTCCAGCGGATGGTGGCATATAGCCAGCAGCCTATCATCTTTCACTATTTCAACAATTTCTCCTGAACTCAATTATTCTAAGCAGTCAACAGAGCAAAACTGCATATTTTCTTCCCTCTTTAAAGTTTATCTTTAGTTCAGTATAGGCTTCACTTCTATTTCAACTTCCAAGTTCCAAATAGACGCAAGAAATCAGACACATTCTAATAAACATTTGCAAAATTAACAAACAGCCTCCAATTAGATTCATTGTTCTAAGAGCTGCAAATAAATCTCCTCAAATTCAACCATGCCAAAACATCCAAAAAAAAAAGAAAAAAAGAATCAATATTACCTAATTTACCTTTCCTAGCACTAAGATAACGAATTCAATGTTTAACAATTACATTAAACTAAAATGTAAAAGTTTGCTTTTTCAGAAACTATGGTTATTTTCCCCCCATGAAATAATTTCCATAGAAATAAAGTTTGAAATTTTCTTATCTCTTAGACATTCCCCCTACTCGTAGCCCCACTATAATTGCAGATTAAGAACCTAATATCTAGAGTCCTATATAACATTCACGCTAATAGGAAATAATAACCAAAAGGTTTAACCAAATGGATATGAGAATGACCAAGGCAACAAAATTTCCATTCAAAAGCCAAATTGAACCAGTGAAAGTTCATCCAAATTAATCATTTAAACAGAGATATAAAACACAATCATAACCTAATTTCCATTTTATCAAGTTTATACCTTTGGCAGGTACTGCCCAGCTGAAACTTCCACCTGAAGAGGCACTTGGACGGGTAAACCAGGCACAGGAACCTGGAAAGGTGCATAATTTCCGGCAGCAGCCGCGGCAGCCACTTCAACAGCAGCCTTCATCTCCGGGGTGGTTGTATAATAATCTGAAGCCAAAATCTTGTCGAGCCTCTCCCTCAGCCCTGCATCTGCAACCAAACACTAATGTTAAAATAAAAAATAAAAAAAAAGCACAGATTTAACAAAACCCACAAATCTAATAGGCAGATTATTACAAGTAACATTAGTAGCATCGGGCTCGATGGGCTGGTCAGAATTGGCAAGCCATAGCTTAGCATGCTGGATGCAACGCTGCAACGCGTTTTTGTGAGACAAATTGGAGTCGACTGGGCGCGAAATCAAGAGCCCACTCAGCATCGAAATCAAATCCAAATCCCCCTCGCTCAACGGGACGGTCTCGTCATCGGTAACGTAGTCGTAGGTCAAGCAGCAGCCTCTCTCGTGCGTCCTGGTCAACACCGTCGAATTGAAATCACTCTGCGACTTCACATCGAACAACGACCCAAAATACAGCAGATTGAGGAGATCCTCAATAGCATGGTCGGGTTCGGGCCGATAATCTTTCTCCTCAGTATCTTTCCCTTGGTCTTGAACAGCCGCATCGTCAGCGGAAACGGCGTCCAGATGAACAGCGAGGGAGATTTCTTCGGAGACGGCAGTGACGAGTGGTTGGCGGAGCTTCTCGAGCTCGTCGATAAGGGCGGTGACGGCGGGCTTCGACCGCAAGACATCTTCTTGTTCTTTGTTGAGAGGCTTTCCCTGGGAGAGAGACTCTTCCATCTGGAGGATACGGTTGAGTTTCTTGCGATGGCCTCGGAGGCGTTTGTTGAGGAGGGTGAGAACAGGGCCATCCGAGGCGTTGCCAGTGGCGTCGGAGGAGGGTGCTGCGGCAGCCATATCTGGGAATGAGCGGGGTTGAGTGATCGGAGGAGAGAGGCAAACCACCGCGAGGGGTGGTGGAGAAGGGACTTTAAGCGGGAGCGGCGGAGGGGGAAGATTTTGGTGAGGGATTGAGTTTTGAGGGGTTTGGTCTTTGGTATTTTGCTTTTATTAGAAGGGGTTTAAGACTTAATTAACAGGAGCAGACGAAAAGAAAAGGCAGGCAGGCAGTCTGTCACACTCTTTTTGTGACTAATTAAGAGAATAATGATTATCAATTGCATGTTTAAAAAATTAGGTGAAAATTTTATGTCTATTTTATTTTTTTATTTTGGTATTTTATTAAAATATTATAATTTTAAATATTTTGTATTTTTTATTGTGTTTTATTATAATATTATAGTTTTAAGTTTTTTTTTCTAATTTGTTTATATTGACCAATAAGTATTAATTTTTAATAATTAAATTTAAATGGATAATTACTTGTATATGATTCCGATGTTCATGTCTTACGTAAGTACCCAAAAAAAAAAACGAAAGGCCACTCCGGTTGAACAGAAAAATGTAATTTAAGTGGATTTCCATGAAAGAGGTTTTAAAATATTCATTAAATTATTTAAATATCATTAATAAATTCACAAACCACAATTGAAAAAGATAAAAAGATAAAAATAAAAAGATAAAAGATAAAATCCAATGCTAATGAATCCTGATTATCTTTTTGAAAATAATCCTGGTTGATTGAGCACACTACAAAAAAAAAAAAAAAAAAACTTTTCCATTGGATATTACTATAAATTTCTTTTGTTTAAAAAAAAAATTATATTTCTTTTTCTATTATAATAGTTAATTTCAACCTTTTAAAAACTACTTACTTACGAGCTGTGACAAATACTTAGATTTTGCATAAATATAATATTAATATTTTATTATTTTCTAAGATATTATAATTTTTTGTATTTATTTATTAAAAAAATTGAATAACTCAAATCAAATAAATAATATTTATTAGTGAATAATAAAACAATTAAGGCCTGTAGTTGGTACAAATATAACTCAAGAAATCATACCAAAAAAACTTAAGAAATCGTACACAGCTAAATTTCTCATGATTCCTACAAAAAAATGTGGAATCCCATCTGCTTGACCAAACTTGGGATGTGTAGCAAAAAATTATGCAAGAATGATTCTTCCTGACTCCAGTTGGAAATTAAGTCCTTGGTATTGAAATTACGGCACAGCATGGGAATGAACTTCGTGCTCCACATTTTGATTACATTAAGGGTCTATTTCCTCTGGAATCCTGGCATTTCCTGAGTATACATACTGCATCTCCTCTGTCCATGTCTGCCAGTCACAGGTTTGTTAGCTGCCGCAGACAAATGAGCAGTTTTCATGGCAATTTCACCAGAAACAGAAAAGTTACCTCATGTCTAAAGGCAATCCTTAGATTTGGCACATTTGTCTTGTGGATATCATTTCCTTCCGGGCCTCTCAAGATGTATTTATTACCAAGCCAATGCGACTGCAGGAAAGGCAGACAATAATACAAAATATTATAGCTTTTAGAGGTCTTCAAATCAATTTCCATGGATATATCATATTTATTAGCCATTTAGAGAAGCATCTTTGTGTCTACTTTCTTTTGTTTCTTGTAGCTGCTGCTGCGCAGCCTTATGATAAGTTTGATTTTGAATGGAAAAGAAAAACTCTATAACCCTCTACTGCAAATGCATTATGTTGCAGGGAAATCATCCAAGCAATTATTGACATAGCAAAATGTGAGTTTTAGGTAACTTTAAAGCTCATTCGGATGGGAAAGTAAGAAGTTGGAAATTCTTGGGGGAATTTACCTTTGCCTCATGTGAAAATCCAGATTGATAAACCGAATTTCTTGCTATCTCACATAAGTCACAAGAACTGAGCTTCCAGACCTGCGAAGTAACCATTAAAGCATTAGGCATGCAACATAACCTCTTGCTACATATGGAAGATATTTGGTTTTCTATATTATTAAATATATATCACTATTAAAGATGTTAAAACTGAGCAACAAACCTGTGCGGCAACACTATATTCTTCCACAAGCGGTTCTTTTGTATACTGAATTTGCAAGGGATCATCAGTGGAAAGTGAAACATTAAGGCCACGCTGGAAAAATGTCGGAAATGGGTTACGATCAATTTCCAGGAAAAGGTAATTGTTGCTCAGAGGTGACATTGCCAATCCAATCTGATAAAAAATGAAAACAGAAGAGTCACTGACTTGTTGAAATTAATAATGTAGGAAATCTTTGGATAGTTCAAAAGAAAAAATGCAGAAGAAAATGAAACCAGATGGTTACTAACCCCACCTCCAACTCAACTCGTCTTTCACACCCCCCCAACCGCCCCTCCCCACAAACACAATTACTAAAAAGGTAGAATCTCATGTCAGATCAAAATATGTAAATCGCTATACACTGTATCAAACAAAACTAACATAATCATGGATTTACATACTCAAGAATATCAAGAATATGGATTTATATTTCTAGAACCATGCCCAAGTGATAGGAACAGAATGAAGCCAACCTGAGCAAGATAATATAAGTACTGCAAAACAGGGGACTTCCGCAAAGTAATTCCATGAGATATATTATTACACAGAAGAAAAGCAGCCGCTAAATGGTCAATGTCGCCAGCCTGCAGAGATTGCAATAGAATCAGCATTAGAATAACTTCAAAAAACTAAACCAGAGAAAGAGAAATCGATTATAACCTCCCCACAGTGAGGCCGAAGCTTTATAGTTGGCAGTCCTTTTGACTCACGAAGCTGTAAAGGAGAAGATAAAATTATGTAAGCTACAAAATGAGTGAGCATAATATTAAAAGCAATATGATTTGGAATAAAACATTTTTCCTCTTCACATCCTCCTTTCTTCCTTCTCAGGGAGATAAAGACAGGTTTCCCACCTTCATTCTAACATACAGTAGCAATGAGCTCAAAGTTACCTCAATAAACTAATTTCTTTGTAACTTTAAGAAATCACTCATGATCATCATATTTAAATTTGTAAATATTGAGAACCTACGTCTTTTTTAAGGCAAAACCCTACACTAAGCCCTTGAACTTACCCCAGATTCTCGATTAAGGCCTTAGACTTTTATTGAAGCAAATAAGCCTCTGAACTTAGTGATCTGGGATATTTAATCCTTTTCCTTACAGTGGACTTAACTCCTGTTTGTGCTTTACTTGCATGGACAAGGTCAATACCCACCCATAGGTAATGACATGTCAATATCTTGTCCATGCAAATGAGGCACAAATGGACATAAGTCCGCCGTAAAGAAAGAGAGTTAAATTGCCCAAATTATTGAGTTCAAGGGCTTATTTGCTTCAATAAAAGTTTGAGGGCTTAATTGAGAATCTAGGGTAAGTTCAAGAGTTTAATGTAAGGTTTTGCCTCTTTTTAACTGCAACTTATCATCAAAAACCAAATAGCTAGACTAGGAGACAAGCTCCAAAACCAAAAGCAGGATAAGCATATCATATAAACCTTGTTGAGTGTGTACAAGTTAGCATAGAAGTAATAAGCATAATAAGAATATGCAGGATTAAAATCGTTGGTCCATTCAGCAGGTTTAGGCATGTGCTTAGTAGGACGCCTTTCTGGTTTACTTTCATCATCTACCAAATCAAAACCCACAACCTGTAACAAGAATTAGATTAGCATTTACTTGGCAACAATCGACTGCATAAATAATTCCAATATTAATCTAGACTTAAAAGAAAATTACCTAAAAACACAAAAGCAGAAAAACAAAAATTATTCAGTTTACTTAGGACAAGCTTATAAGAAAAAAAATGTTTATTTAGAATAACAGCACATTGAGGAAATTTAAAGAAAAAAATTTAAAAAAGGGAAAAAATATTTGATTCCTATATTGATCTGATGTGTTAATGTTCACCACCATCCAATACTTAATACTCGTTAAAGAAAAAACTTACCTGCAATAGAAACACATGTAGCTGGGGATGAGAACTGGGATCAACTGTAACTTCAAATAATGGAATGAACACATTGTCTAGAATATTCTGAAAAGATTTCAGAATTCCCATTTGCTTGTAGACATTATATAGTCGAGGTACCTGCAAATTAAATAAAAAATATCAGAAAGTAGGGATGCCATGTAAAAGCCAGAAGAGAATCTTTATGCAAGCCAAACCATGTTTAGAAGGGCATAATCTCTTGTATGAGGTATTAAACCCATATTAGCTGAACTTTATAGGGTTTGTTTTTTTGATTGTCAAACTTTACATTAAAGAGTTATGCAACCATTAGGCATCTACCAATATAAACTGAACTTTAAAGAGTTGCGAAGACATTTTGCATCTCTCTCTACCTCTCCTTGACCAGTCATGTCAACCACTCTTATCCCCATTCTCAAACCACAGAACTGAACTTTTTGTTAGGAAGTGCTAAAATTGATGCATTCAGCTATAAACTTCAACATCATAATCTTCACACTGTTCCTTCCCATTCAGATTCAGAAGAGTATCAGATATATTTAAATTTTGTACAAACAAAATTAAAGTCAACTTGCAGGCCATGAGAAGAGATAATAACAGCATTACAAGTACCTGAACTAACCAAACAGCATTCTCACTGTAAATTTCATTGTTAATGAACCAACTTGCCAGCTGGTCCCATTCACTTTCTTTCCTCCCATATATGGAGATCCTGTACTCAGCCATCTGGAAATAATCATATGATAAATTAATTTAGGTATACTTAGTGGTCATATCAATCAAGAAAGGTGTCCCAAGTTTAATCTCAAGAAAGTCCCAAAAACATGTTTCCTTTTCAACTGAAAGCAAGGTTTCCACTCGTAAAACAGTAGTAAAACAACAATGAAATGAAAGCAAAAACAAATGCTTTCAGGTTGGCATGTACTTCCCATTTTCTTTAGAAAAATTATCAGGTTATTATTTAAGAACAAGAAAAACTAAGTGCTATATCAAATCTTCTACATAATAAATATCAATAACCTGGTATTTGCTTGCTTCTAGGTCTGATAAAACTTCCTTTGTTACTTCTGCCAAAAATCGACCTGTAATGTTCACTTAAACAGTCAATGACACTAAAATCTCACATTTTGCCTTACTAAAACTGATAACCACATCTTGAGTTTCATTTGAATGTGAATTTCAAATAAGCACACATGCCAAAAAATTAAATGGAGAAAATTTACCAAAAAGATGTATCACAAAACAAGTTACAAATAATAGGACTATATGTTAGTCTGAGTAGAAGAAATGAGAAAAGAGAGAGTAGCCAGTTATTTCTAATAATGATTAGAATAGACAAACCTTGGATGAGATTGTCTTGCTTTAAGAAAATCTCTCTGAGTCTGCTTTGCCCACAAGGATTGTATTTAAGATTGAACTTATCAAATCGATGGAAGGTACTCTTATCAGCATGAACATCCAGCAAATCAACATTGAGATCATATCTGCAGTATATATCAGAAGGTTAAGCAAAAAAAAATAAAAATTAAAGAAATAAAATAATTCTAATACATAAAAATCAATAGAACTAAGTCTGTGCATACCCAGTCAAATCCAAACTCTCAAAAACCTCCTTTAATGTCATATACTTTCCATCTCTAAATATAACAACCTGTGTAATTTTAGTATTGGCTTTAGTAGATTCATTTAATAGGTCAAAGTTTCAAAATCAGCAAGAGTTTTCCATAAACATACACGTCCACACACACACAAGGGAGTTCAAAATGCACCTCATCAGGTTCCATTTTTAGTTTTGATTTGATGAAACAAAGCAGATGTTTCCGGTTCATGCATGCAGAATGATGCACATGGGTATCAACCTTGCGGATATTGTAGAAATCACGATGTGGAGCACTCTTCTGAGCCAGAAACTCCCTGTCTGCTTTTACTAACAGATGGAGGCGGAACTTCTGCACGTTGTTCAGTCATAAGTTATAAAATAAGCAGAGTTAATGAGAAAAAAAATGATACAAAGAGTGTCTGGTGAGGACTACCTCTTCAAGAAATCTTAGTCTCTGATAGCAAACAGAACGAACATTTCCAGCAGACATAACTTTTAGAATATTATGCATATCAGTGAAAAATTTCATTGAACTTGCCACTGGAAAGAGCTCTTCAGTGTCTGAATGAAAATTTAAAAGAAGTTCAATTTGTCTCAGATGTCAGACTCATTGAAGTAATAGCCAATATAGTATTCAACTAGCAAATAAAGAACTACAGCAGCATTTGAAAAAAACTACTAAACCATTTTCTCAGACCCTGTTGAGTAACATATGGTAACATGTATTTGAACAGGACATCCTTGGTTTTTTGTCTTTGTCTCATAAACATAACTCTTGGATGGGGATTAAAATTATTTAGAAAAGGAAACCTACCCTTCCAAGTAAAAAGAGTATCGTAACACGTTAGAATCCGAGTGCTTGTTTCTTCCAGGATGATAAAAATTATTATAAACCATACAATAAATTGTGACATGCTATACAAGCCCTCTCAAATTATATACTAATTCCTTTTCTAATTCTATTTTTTTTAAGAGGTCAAAGGAGGGAATCCACACCTGCCTGGTTGACATGAATTTTTATTGCTATCATTTAGCAACTAGCATCTCAACATTCTAGAGTAAGGCTTAATTGAACAATACTGAGATACCTTTGAAACCAAAATACTAACTTAAAAAAACTATGTTTACCCGTTTCATTTGCATAAACATGCACAACTCCATCTTCCATCCTAAAGTGATGCTGCATGATAAGGAAAAAAAAAAAAACATATCAAAAAGCAGCTTAGGTGGCAAATCAAAGCTTCACCTCATGATTAGTCACTCAAATCAATTCCATTGGCAGCCAAAATTACTCAAAAACGAATTGATAGCACTTGTTAGCAGAAAATACTTCATTGCAGATGCTCTTTGAAACTAAAGGGATCAGTTTTCCTCACTGAACAATATTAATAGCTAGAAAGAAACTCACATTAGTTTTTTCAACAGGTTCAAAGTGAAACAGATCACTTTTCATCTTTGGAGTTTTGGTTTCTGACACGGGTGCTTTCTTCCATGGTGCAACCTCTTCCCTGTAGACATAACAGTCTCGCAAATCCAAACACTCTCGAATCACCTTCCTTACTTCTTCCTCTTCTACATTTGTTGGGCCTAAAGAGTGATATTTCGATAAATGTAAGTAAACCATAAAAAACTTGCAGCATTTTTTTGCAAGTACATTAATTAAGAAAATATGACAGACTCTGACTTGGCATTTTGATCAACTAATGACTCTTTTTCTGGGAGTAAAATAATTAGGAAGGCCAACTGTGTTGACACCACCCAGATTTGCAATTTAACTAAGAAAACTGATAAGGTCAGAAATTAAAAAGTATATGAAGGCACCAAAAACCAGACAGAGATCTAAACTGAACACTTCTGGACTAGAGAGATTAAGATACCATGAAATGCAGTTCTCGATGGTAAAATGTTGGCAAAAGTGGCACCATCCCCAACTATGTTTAAGGAGTCTGCATCAATTTTTCCACTTCCATGTAGATCATTATATGCTTTTGCTTCATTTCCAGCATCCTTGTGGTAAATATCTTGAACATGGTTCACACCATCTCCAGCAAATGGAATGGTAATAGAACTTTGAACTTTTGAACCAACATCCTGGACACTCATCAAAAGACAAATTAACAACTTATCAAATTCATTTCAGTATATCCTCCTTCTAAAATGAGAAAGAAAAGAAAATCCTTCATGTTTTTTGGTGCCTAATGACTTGTTAAAGAACTTGGGACAGGCAAAAGAACTGAAAAAAGGGGATAATAAACAATCAATATATACTGGCAATGCCTATTTATATTACTAGCCATAGATTACTCATCATCAATAGTTATAGAAAATTTTCTATTCCTAAAAATATAACTGTCATCGCACATACATTTATCAAATCACCAGAAGAAACTAAACTCCCATAGTTGAAAAGATCATCATCTTCATTTGCAAGCTCTGTTCCTTCATCATCAGATTCTACAGTGCTTCCCCCAGGAGATCTTGGAGTCATTAGACGGCCATAAGAAGCCAGCCTCAGAATTGAACCACTACAGTTGATAGGCTGATCTTCCCCTGCAGACAGCAAAAGGCTATAACTCAGTTGATTGACAAGGGAAGTAGATCAACAAATTTACGAAGACCCTTTCAAATTCACTCTCAGGCATCTACCCAGAAACATAAAACAACATTAGCCCATCACAAAGAGAACTTCATAAAATTATTCCAGAAAAGAAACTCCTGCTACCAAACACAACCCAACATCCACTTCCCTGAAGGTTTTGAATTCAGGAACTCAGTGGGCAACCCAAAGACCTCAAAACCATTGCTGTAGAAGACTTATCCATACCACCTAAAACTGCTGCAATGTTTTTTAGCATAACAAACCCATTATTCTACACTACTAGACCCGGTTGTACAACTTCTCACTTCTACTGTTGACAAATATAACCGAATCTCATGATGACGATGTAGAGGAACCATATTAGTCCATCTTTTCGCAAATATACTCCATGGAATACTTCACAAGTAAACCATTAGTAATGGTGTCCTTATAAACCCATAAGCCATAACCATAAGCTCAGTGCAGATTTACTTCAAAGACTAACAACAACAACAAATTAGATAACCAGACAACAAAATCAACTCCCCATCACCTCTTCTAGCCGTTTGTAGAGAAGGAAGCCCAGACGGAATAAAATTGAGCCTATCCACAGACGCGGCAGAAAAATTCTGCAACCTAGGCCTCACCGTTTCATCAAACTTCGAATCCTCCTCTAACCACTGATTACCCAAAGCCACATTAGGCACCGAACTTGAAACCGGAAAACTCCTGAACACTTCCATTCGTTCTTGAAACGATCCCGAAACACTCCACGCCCGCATATTACGCCCGCCAAACACCTCTCCATCGGAATCAAACTCTCCCTCATCTCCACACCCTTCTACATTTCCCAGTTCCCCTAGCTCTGCTTCTTCGTCATCAGACGAGAGTCGGCGGCTTCTATCTCTTTGGGGCAACTTGCGACGGATCTCAATGAGGTGGTCGAGCACCTGATCGACACTGCGCTTGTGGACGTAATAAGCGGAAATAGCCATAAAGGAAGCTCCGACGAGAGCCGCCATGACAAGGTGAAGAGAGTGGATGGGCGATGATGGCTCCATGGTATTAGGAAATCGGAAACCTAATTTTCTTCCTTCGGTTTATCGGAAGTAGTAGCACAGTTTCGGCGACGGAGCCAAGGAAAATTTTATAGGCATGGGGGAGCGCGAAGAGGAGAAGTCGTGTTTGGGTGAAAACAGTAAAATGAAGTGACAAGTCAAATGATGACAGAAAGAACAAAAAAAAAAAAGGGTGAGGCTAGGAATTGTGTTGGCCACTTGGTTGGGCCTTTTTATGCTTATGGTTAAATGCTCATTTTGGTCCCTCAACTTTAGTGGTTTGCACATTTTTGGTCCTTTAAGAATTTTTTGCATTTTTTTGATCCTTCAACTATACGAAATGCACTCCGTTAGTCCTTCTGTTAATTTAGACCGTTAACTCGCTTACGTGGCATTTTTTATAATTTTTTTGATGAGGTGGCAAAAGCATATTACAAACGTGTCCACCTAAAATTTTTTTTTTATTACAACTCATTGCCACA